GCAGTTTGGTTCTAGAGAAAATGGTGGGTGCTGTATATAAATTTATTGTTTTCCCTTGAATGATAAAATATTGTATAGAAGAATATTCCCATTACTTTGCTTCATAAAGGAATCCCACTGAAGTCGAGAAAACTTCTTCACAAGAAGAGATCAAGAAGATTTTGCTGTTCTTGTTTACTCTCAAATTAAACTTGTGATGACAAATCAACATTAGCATATTTTTTTTGCCTGGTTCTGGACAGACAAACACTCCCAGTCAAGTAGAAACTTGTGATCAGTCTCACAAGTAGTTTACTGTTTTGATTGAGTTGTTAGCCAGTATTCAGAGGCTGCACCTATCTGCTGTTGACTTAACTACATGTGATGTTTCTTGTGTATGCGTTGAACGAAAACTAACTGACGCGAATAGCTCAAATGCAAGGGAATTCACTGCTACTTTGCTTTACTTGAAATAATTTTTTTTGTTAGCTAACATGCAGGCTGCAGAATTCACTAAGAAAAGGTGTGCTTTGTTTCTCTTCCTTACACTGAATGCTACATTGTTTTCTGTTTTGTCAAAATTCACAAGATGAGGGGACTTCATATTCAGTGTAATAACATTCATGTTTTTCCTTTACCCAGGATTGAGAAGGCTAGAGAGAGATCGCCTGCCTTTTGTTTCCATCACAGTTTGTAACACTATGTGGTGCTCTTGTTCAAATAACAGCATTTTTATTTTGCTTGTTTTCATCAATCTCTCAGCGGTTGAGACATGTAAAGGATGTTCAAATCAGGAAGTATTCCTAGATGGACTAATCTGAAAAATTCTCAAGCTTTATTAAGAACCTTGATCTTAAATTCAAGCCAGTTCATACAGATAGACATTATGAAATGGGTGTTTACTTGATGTTTATGCTTAAGCTTTTGTTTGAACAGTTATGGCTTATTTTCTTTTGTCATGTGTGTAAACTGTTCTCTATGTGGGTACATCCGTTTCCAAACAACTTAAGATGAATGACAATCATTGAGGCAAAAACTGCAGTCTTCTGCTTTTCAATACAGAAGTTGGTATCTCTGTGATTTGAGACTTTCAGTGCAGCCTGAAGCAAGAAAGACTCAAGAGAGTAGAAGGACAGTTAAGAGGGATGATCTTCTAGTAATTGTGAAAAATTCTTTGCTCACATTGGTCTGATCCTAACTTCTCTAAGGGGGGGTGGTGGGGTGGCGTGGGGTGTGTGAATGGAGAAGCCGTTGCATTCACTTACCTGGTGGAGTGGCACAGCAGAATTGGCACAGGACAAATGCTTCAGAACATGCTTGGTACCATCTGTTTTAGCTCATACATGAGCTAATTCAACTGCTGTATAGCTTCTGCTGGTCTTCCTTGCACTGTGCAAAAGTGACTTTACATATTGCAAACCACAAGAGCTGAACATCTGCATCACGCTGAACGGGGTATCTATGATAGTCATTCTGGACAAATGATACTGCACTAAGGAGGACTCCAGCTTTGGCTTTGAGAGATTTTTGTATTGCTGGACCTTGGAAATGATTCAGCTTTGAATTGGAATTTTGAATGGCATCCGTACTGATGTGAAAAAGATGATTTGCTGCCTTGTAATTCTGTTCTTGATATGGGATGTGGAAAAGCTCTGGGGCTGCAGCATGCGGACAATGAACATCCCAGCTTCCCAGAAGCACACAACTCTTGAACGCTCCATTTTGTGTCTTTTCCTCCAAGTTAATGATCTGATATCCATGCTGCTACATAGCTAGTGTATTAGTGTGGGATAGTTCAGATTCATCTGGCACAAACTGAATAGTTACAATGTATGCAACATTAGAGTTGCCACACGGCAAACCAGAAGTCTACTGAGCCTGGTATTGTCTCCAGAAGTGGCAGTAATGAATGCTTAGAGCAGGAGGTATAACAAGGCTGAAGTGATATTTTTCTCTTCCTGCTAAGATCTCCTTGCTATTTGCCACAATATGTGCAAGGATGTCCTGAGCTTAGAAACTGCAGCCAGACCGTGAACTTTTGTAGTGATTGAATTTTATGGATGAAGTTTGCAATGAATTAAAACCTGTTAATGCTTTTGCCCTCCCATTTAATTAGTCACTGTGAGAAAGTGCTTCTTGTTTTTGTTTTAAGCCTGCTTCTTGATATCATTGTTTAATGATCTGTATTTTGGTTTTACCCTCCTTTATCACAGTCCTCTAGGCCTCTCATGTCTGTGCCTTACTGTTTTTTTTCCCTTGTGTGACTGCTGCTCTATTTAGCTATTTTGCACTTCTGATAATCTTCATTACCCTTCTCTGTTGATCTCTTCAGAGATGGGCTGACCAAACTCTACTCAAGTTGTAAGTATGAAGTGCTGTGACACAGTTGTGTTTTGATTTATTTTCCATGCCTCCTCTAATGAGTCCTAAATTCTCGTCATTTTCATGGCTTCTGAGCATGGAGTTGATATTTTCAGAGGACTATCTAAAATAATGCCAAGGTGTTCTGCTTCCTAGCCAAAAGGTCTGTAACACCAACTTAACAGCTACTTATGCTGTGTATATATTTTTTTAATGTTACTTTTCATGTATTGTTAGTGAAGTTCACCTGTAGATTTACTACACATTCACAATTGTGAAGTCTCTCTTCAGTCTCCTTTCTTTTAAACTACTTTGAATAATATTATCTTGGCAGCAGCATTTTTTCCCCTCTTTTCTAGATCACTTAAGTTTAATAGCACAGATCATTGGGGAAGACAGGAGATGAATGTCCATAGCAATCTGCCACTGTTACAAAAATGGTTTGGGACTATTTCATATCACTCTCCTACTCTTGCTTTTTGGTGTATCCTGTTAAGAACTTTTGAGAAGATGTAAAATAAATAATATAAAAGTTGAAAGTAACTCACTCTTCTGCTCTCAGAACCAACAAATAACAGAAGAAACATAAGGGGAGAAAACCCCCACATAAAAAAGCCAAGACAGACATAAAGCGTAATATAGTTAAATTTATTTGTTCTTATCTACTATTCCACTCTCCAGGTAACCATCTCTACAAGTCCTAAAATTTGAGATTATCACCCATTTCAGACTGGGAACAACCAAGTGTTTAGAGGCTACAAGTCAGCTGATTACTACCATTGTGCCTCAGTATGAGGTAGTAGCTTCAGTTTCCTGCTTTGAAATGAGGAAGACCAGCAAAATATGGTGGTTTTTCACTGGTGCATAATCTGAGTCAGCTATACTAGAATAACACAACCTGAGCTTTATCTGTTTAGTGATTCAAACTAGGCTAAGGCCTAACAAAATAAAGCTATCAACTGATTTGAATATAAGGATGTAGTGCTATGAGGCACTTCCCCCTCCAAGAACTATGTTCTGGAAAAATCTCACTTGCATATGATTTTTCTAGGTATAATTGTAACTTACGGCTGCTTTGAGGGGCCCTTAGCCTCTCCCTCATGTGGAAAGAATTAACTGCTCCTTGGTGGGAGCTCTGGACCTTGCTGGAGAGCTGTGTCCAGCAGCGGTTGCACCTGCAACAGATCTTTTGTTGCAGCTGCAGGACAAGCCACTAGGAACTCAGTCTTTCTGATGGGAGGCTTGCACTGATTTTAGCTTCCCCAGCCAGCTGAAACCTGTATACTAAGCAGTATTTTACTTTTTTTTTTTTTTTTGGATGGACAGGCACTGCCTGTCTGGCAACAAGTTTCCTGGAAAGGTAGGGCTTTATGTAGCTAGCTAGGAGGTGAAACCATGCTTGGGAGGTCAGGCTTTTCAGTGTTATAAACAGGATTGATCTTTGAGGTTATGGGTGGCCAGCATGTATGTGGCATGGGGAAGGGAGCAGGGTCTGAGGATGGCTATACTGTCATAGGTAAAATAGAAGGGAGGGTGGACTCTGGGGTCTAGAAGGTGGCTAAATATTTAAATACTGAATTTACTGGGTTTGGTTTGTTTTGCTGTCACTTAAAAAGGAATGCTTTACATTTTGGCCAAGGTGGTATGCTTGGAAACCAGCTTTTATATTTACATTTCTTCCTGCTCCTCTCTCATGCTTGTTTTTTTTTTTTTTTTTAAATTAATTAATGCTCCTACCAGAAAAATGCTGGGATGGAATTTTCAATCAAGATCAAGTAGATTGGCACACTTTGAAGTGAAGCAATGTCCTGTGAAATTCTGTGGAGATGAGTATTTATCTGCTCTGTGTATATAGCAACAACGTATTCCTGATTGTGGGGACAGGTATGCATGTGTCGTCATACTTGGATATGCGCTGCATTTGTGGTGTTAAGTAACTTACTGCTACTTTTAGCAAAATCCAGGATGTGATTTGTGTGTATGTGGCACTTGGTCAAATCTAAAAGTCTGTTAAAGTTCATTGAATTATGCAGAGGGCAAAATGACCCAAATGCATAAAACGGAGGAGCAAAACAAGCATGATCCAAAAAAGGTATGTTGAAGAAACTCTTCTTAGCTTTATTCAGCTTTGAGTAGTAAATTTACTTCCATGTCATTACAGCTGTTAAATCACCTTTTTCCCCAGCTTTGCCATTCTCATCCTCAGAGCTGAAAAGAGAAAACAAACAAATCTATTGCATTTTAAGACTAACTTCCTGTTTCTGATGCTAAATCTCCTTATTTAGAAAAATGAAGAATACACATACCTCCAGTGGTTAATCCAGCAGAATGAGCATTGTTTTAGTGTTATAGAAAGAAATCAGTAAAAGGCATTAGTTCTGGTAATTTTGCAATAAAGCAAGTATATTAAGAAATTACTCCATTATCACTATTTGAAAATTAGCACAGCTCTCTTCTAACTATTTGATTTTTGTTATCTTCACTAAGGTGTTGCAGACAGATGGTATTGTCCTTGACTAGATGCTGACAGATTAAAAGGATGCATGAATAATTAAACAAAGTCTTTGTCTAAATTAAACTCCTCAGTGGGAGCTGTAACTATTTGAAAGCCTTTTTCTTTTGTGTTGATGTTCACAGAAAACTTTCCTCTCTTCCTGGTGTAGTGAGTCAGACTGGGAGTTAGTCATATTCCTGTTTGAGTCTGTATCCATATAAACATCAGTATGGCTATTGTCTGTAACTGGGTATAATGTTGGTTAGTTTGAAAGTGACAGTGCAGGACAGATGATTAAATGTTAAGGTTATTTTTAGAACAGCAATATAATGCTGTTTGATATGTAAGAGCCTCCCCCCACTATGTAGTTGATCTGAGAATGCAGTGGGAATGATCTCCAGCTCTGACCTGTTAGTTTGAAGAGTCACCCAAAATAGCATGTCTCGTTCCTTCATCGTGCATGTGTGTCTCTACTGAGAGACGGGGTCAAAGCAGCTGTTTACTTGATTTATGCAGTCAGCAGATGTCCAACCTGAGTTATGTTTTGAATGCTGAAGTCGTTGCAAATCATAAGCATCTGAGTGTAACTATATCACAGGGCTACTGATGTTAAGCTTAGTTCTTACGAAGACCCTGTGTACTGTTTGCAGACCAAGAAATTCTAAAGGATTCGAGTCCTGGCTGTGGTTTGAGACAGCACTCAATCTGATCCTTCACTTATAGCCAATAGTCCATTTTTGTCTTGCTCTGTGCGTTACAGAAACAGATGGTATGCATGAATCTCTGTTAAAAAGGGGTTGTGTTTTTTGCATGTTACTTTAACGCAAATGGAGCTAAGTCTCCATTGTGTTTTTCTGAAGGTTGCATAGTTTCCAGTGGTAAGGAAAAAAATTAACTCATCTAGCCTAGCTACCTGCCAAAAGTCTTGGACCTTCATGTCGTATGAAAGCCTGTTCCACACTGTGGGTAGGTTTTATTGCCTATTCAGCTTCAGTTTTTTCTTACCTTATTCATTCCACTATGTATAGCCTTTGCTCCCCCCTCAAGGACTTTTAATTTCCTTAATGAGTATTGAATCTTCAAAACATTTGCATACTAATTCATTTGATTGAAATTTAAAGAAGAAAATAAGCTCTAATAATGCAAAACACTGGTGTCCTAATTATAGCATTGTCATCCTTCTCTCTGCATGGTTTTTCTGAGTGCACATACTTTAAGGTATTGGTCTCCCATCAAGCTCATGGGGACAGGAAAATTGTTCCCATATGGAAAGAGGTATGCCCTACCTTTCTGTGAGTTTGAGGGCATGCTAAAAGCTCCTCATTTAATCTGCTGTTTCTCTATATAGATCAGTACATAGAACAATTTCTCTGCCTCCTAGTTGTTCTTGGCCATCACTGACTTTTTCAGTAACTTGCTCTGAAGGGTCATTTCTTTCCCGAAGCAAGATTGTTCCTTATGTAGCAGTCTCCCAGGTCTGTCCTGTGCTTCCTTGCTTTCCGTTCTCTTTCAGAGAGTCCTCAGTACCTGTTTAATGTTCAAATGCTGCAATTGCCTCCCAAAACTTTCGTTTCAGAGGATTATCTTTTTTGTTGTATCGTTTGTTGTTTTAGTAATGAATGATGAGGTACCAACAACAGTTTTGACTCCCCTCTTTTCATTGGTGGTGTTTAGGGTGAACCTCCTAGGCTGGACATCTGTGGCTGCTTTGAAAACAGTTTATTTCCCTAAGAAACAGCTCTGTGTAATACATTGTTTTAGATTTAAGAGGCTTTCCTGGCTTTGTTTCCTTTTTAGAAGTCACAGTAGGATTACAGGACTGCTTGGGAAAAATTGAGTCACTTCCTGGATTTTTCCACTGATCAAAATGTCCCAGGGAGTGGCAATAAATAGGTGGAGGGGTAGAGAGGAATATGGCTTAGTTCCAAATTCTACTGGGTACTTAAGACACTCAGAGGCAGTGCTGACTGTTGGGGTGTATTTTTGAGGCAGTTGCCAAACTGCTTTTAATTGGGACCAGTTTTTTCTTAATTGGCTATTTGGCTATTTTTTCCTTGGTAGAATACTTGTAAGTAAACGCATAAGACCAAATACCAATTAACAGAACAGTTTCTTCAACATCTTTGCTAGATTTACACTTGTCCTCCTTCCCTGAAAGTCAGGGTTTTTTTTCCACTAACCTCAAAAGAGAGAGAACTTATGTTGCTCAGAGAGTGTCTGAGTAGCAGGGGAAAATGAAATTTCAGATGCTACTTTCAGGAGACAAAAAGAAGCAAAGAGTGTTGCAGGTAGAGGTGCTCAGCTAACATCTCATGGCCTGACTACGGCCTGCCCGAACGGTAGTGCCAGCTCATAGTTACTTCTTGGAAACATCTTTCCCAGGATCTGTGTGGGAGCACCCATACAGTGGGCTGTAGGATGAATTAATTGTTCCAGTAGCTGGTGGGTGGGCGAGTGTTGCTTCTCCATTATATGTCTGTACGTATGTGATGGGGGAATTAAGGGACCATCCCCAAAATATAATGGACTGGAGCAGTTGCTCAAGTGGTTTATCTTGCCTGTACCAGCTACTTCTGCTTTCAGTTGCTGGCATGAGAGTTGCTGGCAGCAACAGCCTTTGGTCCTGGAGGACACAGGGGAGTGCACAGATGCCGGGATTGGTGCTTGAGAGATGCAAAGGTCCTCTCAAGTGATAGAAAAGTGCAGTGGCCTCACTGATCAGAAAGGCTGGGCAGCACTGCTGGAATATTTCAGGCTGTTGTGTGCATGACTGCAGGAGGTTGAAAGGCCTATAAACTAAGAGTGTTACTGAAAGGCTCTTCCTAATTAGTGCATACTGATGCAAAACTACTTGAAACTCCTTATGTGATCCAATGACCACCCTCTCTCCTGGCTTTACCTGTATTGTGAAGAAATGTTGGGCTGACAGTGCAGCTTTAGACAGGGCCTAAACTTACACTTTTGCTGCCAAATTGCAAAATTATTCAGAATATAGCCTGCAAGAAGAGCTAGGGGAGAATGTGGGATCAGGACCCCTCATTGTCCTGTAATGCATGCACAGTGTTCTTTTCTTGAGGTGGAATGTGACTGCTTTCTGAAATCTGCTCTGTAAATATACTTTAAAGCATGCAATGAAACTGCATTTAAGTGCAACATGAACATAAAGAGCTTTCTGCATTTCTGGAAGATCTTGCTATTGTTCTTTCAACCTTTTATTATAAAACTTTATAGTAAGAAATAGACATTTTGAGTATTAATAGAATATAAAAAGTGTTTAAGAAAACCCACCACTATGGACTATATGGATGTAGCGATGAAAACTGTTTCATTGAATTTTAGAGGCTATAAAAGTAACTCAGGCTAACAAAAAACTCTTAAAACTTGCATAAACATTGTCAAGGCAAGGTTGTCAACGCTGATTCCAGAGAAATGTGAAGTAAAGCTGGTTATTAAACAGTCTTTCTGATTTAAGGAGCAATTTGGATTATCAAGGAAGTAGTTAGAATGCAGATAGGCACAAAAACATTCCAGGGAGGAGACAGCGTTAAGAAGCAATGCTGTTAGTTACCTGGTAGAAATGAAAACTAATTCTGCTAATTGGGGTAGCATTAATGGATTTTTTTTAATTGTCACTTGAAAGAGAACCACTTTTAATCTCTGCAGGTTACAGAAATGGCTTTTCTGAGATATCAAAATTTGGAAAAATAACTACTGCATTGCTAAAGATGACATAATTCAACAGTACCAAAATGCAGATTGGCATTTGTTAACAAACAAGAGTGGATAAATGATTAGTGATTGCATGTTAGTCCATGCAACAATCCACATAGTAAAGTGAAACAGTTGCTAGCAGATAAGAGTAGCATCAGTTTGCTACATAAGTGAACAGCAGTGACATGATTTTCCTTTTCTGTTACCTGTTAGGGAGGGATCTTCGGTACCATCTCCAGATATCTGGCTGTGAAGATGAGCACGGTGTGTTGGTGAGCTTAAGCGTTCCTCTTGTTCTCGCAGGGAGATGGAATTTTTGTGGGGTATGTTGTTCAGGCTCACGCCCAGGCTGCTCAAAGGGTTTGTCTGTGGGACTTCTGTGATTTTCCTGCTTGGTGGCTGATAAACCTGACTGTAGTGGCCTATGGGATGATATGCTGGTTTCTCAGATTTGCTGTCATCTTCATCATCATCAATGATAACTAATTCTGCGTGGATAACCCCATCGTATCGTGACAACTTTTGGTCTGCTTCTGCATCATTGTCATCAATGCGCTGATAACCCATGAAAATCATTGTTACAGGTTCAGAATCATCCACATAACACGGTACAGCTTGGACAATGCTGTATTGAACATCTTCCTCATCTTGAGGTGCAGGAGATGTTTCATTAGGATGGCAGGGACTTAACAACCTTGTCTCATTATGTCTTTCTCTTGTATTCTGGTAAGGTTTTAATTCTTCGTGTGCAGCTTTTCTTTCTTCACTATGTATCATCCTGTTCTCAGGATTAGTGTGCACTTTCTTCTCGGAATGGGAAAGTACTGGAAAGGGAGACTTTGGCTGTATTACCTTTGGAAGATCAAGCCCATTCTCTTTATGTTGTTGCATAAAAGGCTCTATTCTGGAGGAGAATTCTGTCTGATTGCTAAATCCGTTCATCTCTCCTCTCTGAGTGTCTTCCAGCTTTGGTCCAGGAACTAATTTATCTTTCTGAGGAGTAACTGGTCTGCAAAATTTGTTTGCAAACACAGGCTCATGGTACTCTGTGGGAGACTGGGAATTTTTTTCAGTTGCCTGCCGTAGCAGGTCTTCCACTTCAACAGGAGCAAGTTCATCTATCCCATTTTGTGTTGTGCTCCCATTTGAGGACACTGCATAGACTGACTTCCTGCCATCATCATAGACTTTAATTCCTGTCTCTTTAAACTCCTTTGAGGGAAGAGGTATTGTTGATAACACTGTGTTTTCTCCTGTCTTCATGTCTTTTTCAACTTTAATTTCCATGGCAAACAGTGCTGTTGAAAGAAACAAGTGCTTAAACTGCTAATGCAGCAGCTGCAAGAAATATTCTAGAAGAGTTCTGACAGTGATAGAGAATGACTGTCAGAATGAATTATAAAGTATGTGAAATTATTACATATATGACCAATATATTGGATTCCCATTTTGAATGCCCCTTCCATCCTGTCAAAACTTGAAGTGGGGAAAAAATATTTTAATTTGGATATAATTCTGTGAGGAAAAATAAGCTGTTGAGGCACCAGTTTTCATGATGTGATTGATTGAGAAAACCAGATGTAACCTTGGCCCCAGTATTGTGCTGGGCAATAGTAGTTGTAAGAGCTCAATGTGCCACAGGACTAAAGTGTCTTGGGCACTCAGAAGGGTTAGGAGGCTTTGCAGTAGTTGGGGAAATAACTGGACTACTGCTGGCTGCCCAGTAGGTCTAAGTGCAGACAGAAAATGTGAAATGTATGATATGAAGGGAGGAACTACTTAAAAGTTATGCCAGGTAGAGGAATGAAGTGCTACAAAGAAGTGTCAATGTTGAAAACGCTTGATCCTTATTCTCAATGGCACATACCTTACACCAGTGTCCCACCTCTCAGTTTTGATGGCGTCACTGATAATATAACACAGCTTAAATGAGAAAAACATTGTCATGTGTCTGTAATGCTTATCCTTCCCTTAAAGTGTATTAGATTCAATTTATAGGAAGTCTTTGTGTGTATTGACACCCTTGGGAGTTACTGCTAAGCAATACCTTTTTTCTTTTCTTCATCACTGGTGGCAGCATGTGCTGTGCTCCTCAGTGCAGAAGGCTTGAAATACTTGGGAAGGTCAGGTATGCTGGCATATATGTAGTCTGCTGCCTCTGAATAAAGAAGATCCACAAAGCTTTCAGTATGTTTTCACTGACATCTAAGGGAACCTTTTTAAAAAACTTTTTTTACTAAACATACCTTTTTCAACTCCTGGTTTTTCAGCCTTCACAGACTAGGAAAGAGAATCATTAACAATAAATGTAATTAGTCAGTTTTAAGATGTTAACTAGACAGTGTTTTGTTCCACCTGATAGTTTTAACTTTTTGCAGGTGTGGCTTCTGGTCTTTTTTGCCAATATGATTCCAAGTCACACAGGGAAGGACAGAATGTTACAAAGTGTTAATCAGTGACACAGCCTCACACTGTGGCCTGAGCTACTTGCAAAGGCTCAGCTTTGGCTTTCCAGTTGTGCTTATCTCCCTGTATGTCTTTAGAGCGTGTATGCGTAATAACTGCAGAACCGAAGTTTAGTTTCATCACTATATCTTTGAGATGGTTTAATATGATTTTCAAATATCAATTGTCAAAGGTCATTTTGATAATATTAAAGTCATGTTTTGATATGCTCCATTGAGCTGTTGGAGCGAGTCCAGAGGAGGGCCACAGGGATGATCAGAGGGCTGGAGCACCTCTCCTATGAGGACAGGCTGAGGGAGTTGGGGTTGTTCAGCCTGGAGAAAAGAAGGCTCCAGGGAGATCTAGTTGTGGCTTTCCAGTACCTGAAGGGGGCTGCAGGAAAGATGGAGAGGGACTGTTTATCAGGGAGTGTAGTGACAGGACAAGGGGTAAAGGGTTTAAGCTGAAGGAGGGTCGATTTAGATTAGATGTTAGAAAGAAATTCTTTACTGTGAGGGTGGTGAGGTACTGGCACAGGTTGCCCAGAGAGGTTGTGGATGCCCCATCCCTGGAAGTGTTTAAGGCCAGGTTGGATGAGGCTTTGGGCGATGTGGTCTAGTGGAGGGTGTCCCTGTCTGCAGCAGGGGGGTTGGAACTAGATGATCTTTGAGGTCCCTTCCAACCTAAACCATTCTATGATGCTATATAGCCTCTCTCAGGGACTTGGGAAAGCATGATGCAATTTAGCTGGGCACATCACCTGCAGGAGAATGAATGTGTCAGCCTCTGTACCTGTTGTATCTGTCTTGGGCTGAGATGCAGTTGCTGGCTGGTGTTAGTGGCAGTGCTATATATATATATATTTTTTTTTTTATATATTTTTTTTTTTTTTTTTAAGATGTCCTATAGACAAGTAATGACAGGAATTACTCCCCTGCCCCCATAACAGGAACAGTATAAAATCTTGACTCCTCTTGTATTTGAACTACTGTCAGTTTAGAGAAAAGCTCATGACTGCTCACCAGATCCAGCTAGTTCCCCCTTCCCTGGTTATTATGATGAACAAATAATGAATTCTACTTCTGGAGTAATTTGGCACTAACCTTTATTATGTCTTCTGTTGTTTTCTCAACAGACTTAAGCTTCTTTAAAATTGCTTCTTCCTTAGCTGAGACTTTTATTTCCTCTCTTTCCAGAGCCTCAATTTCCTTCTCCAATCTGCAATCACAATTCACTTTGATTTAATAACAGGCAGAGAACAACACTGCAGACTTAATACATTGTTAATATGGACATTAGTGGGGCTGGGTCTACTTACCCTGACAAGTTTTCCTCTAATATGAGATCAGCTTATAATTTCACATGCATCAGGAAATACTGTGGAATAGTGTTCTCTTTGTTCTTTTCTTTTCTTTTTTTTTTTAAATGTACCTGCCATAGATTCCTTCTGAACCTACTTGGAAACAGTGGCTGAAATTAACTTATTTTTTGGGAGGGAATAAATAAGGAATATAGCCCCCCCACAACATTTCCTCATGTCTAAGAAAATTTTCTCCCCTACATTGTCTCAAGAAATGTGATTACTCCATTGTAATGAAGATGTAGTAATCTAGTACATAGACACCAGGATTATGACTTTGTCTCTTAATTTTGTATGTGTACACATGATGAAAAGAAGTTCTTTTATTGTAAGAAAGTCAGAAGAATGTTCTTGTACCTGGCAGTACTTAAAGGGCTAGAGTACATCACCTCATGTTATGTTTTAATATATGTAGCCAAACTGTATTCAGGACGATCCCCTGTGGAGGAAAGTTTTAGTCAATCTGTAACTAACTAGCAGCTACAGTTCCAGAAGAACCACTCTATTAATGGAAATAAAATTGCATTTGTATTTCTGAGGGCTAGAACAGGTATCACTTTTTGTGGTAAAATAATAATGGCATTTGCAAGTACTTTTTGCAGCTCTCAACTAATTTACTAATATAAAAATCAATACAGCTAGAAATCGTAAGTGATGTGCTTTATAGGCTACTTTTATGAAGTGATAACTTCATAATTGTGTAGATTTTGAAAATTAAGCAGCCTGCACAGTGGGAGGATGCTCAAGAGACTAAAGTTTGAAGCTTTGATGTTTTCCAGTCTGTCCAGGATTCAGAATGAAGAATTTACAGACACTCAGGATGGAGGTGCGTGTGTTTGACTCCGAGATGCCAAGACAGTTATCCATGTTTTTTTCATGTGTGAATGTGGATTCTGGGATTTCAAAATTCTTTGCTTTGGTAAAACAGATGTAACAGTGCTTAACTGACAGCCTGAAGCTTGATTCTTTAGGGGAAAAAAGTCTTGATTAAAAACGCAAGATATTGCTGATGTGGGGTGGGTGTTATTGTAGTGTTCCTGATAGACTAGATCACAGCTTGTGTAGCTGCAGATTTAAAAATACTGGTGAGTTTTAAGGGCTCCTCTTTCGGGCTGTGTACTAAGGCTTTTACAGACATACATGTGTCCTTCTTAGTCACTGATCAGCATTTTGAGTACTTAATTCTCTACGAAAAGTGCTGAAATCTTGTTTCTGGAAAGCATTCCTTTCCAGCAGAACAGCGGTTGTCTAAGACCCTCTGGTTCAACACACCTAGGATGAGCAACTGGGAAGGTTAATGTTTGCAGTATTTGCTCAAGTAATATCCTCACAAGTATTGCCAAAGAATTTGCAAGAGAAAACTGGGTAGTTCACATAAGTGTGATACATGTTGCATCAGGTGCTAATAGCAATCATTTTCTAAGATTGCAATTAGCTGAGATTTCCAACATAAAGAAACAATTGTTAAAGGTTTGTCTGTTAGAGGAGGAACCTTGATTGTACCCAAGTCTAATCAGTGAGAGCTTTGTTTTACAAAGACTATAAGCCTACCTCTTACAAATACTGAATATACTAACTTTGGATATTCTCTAAGACAGCAGGATATTCCGCAATTGACTTATGTCTGTCAGATTTAGCAGTGCAAACAAGAAGTATCTTGCCAGTTAAGACTTGGCCGATTGGCTAACAAGTTTCTTAAACTTTATCATTATATAATAAGGGAGATCGAAGCTTATCAGTCAAAATTTCTTCTGGGCTATTGACTTCTGCTGTAGGTTTGTACATTATTTAAAAGGAGTCACAGCTCCCTTTCCCTCTCTATTTGTTATATGTTAGATCTATGTTATATGTTTTTTGCATGTTAAAGCTGAGTACAATGTTTAAGGCATCTTTTCCCTAATTAGAGGTTTTATTTTCTTAGCATTAAGATGTTTGATGAAACACTTCTAGACAGAAAGGTCTGGGATAAATTATCTAATCTCTATGTATGTGAGAGAGGGAGAAAACTATGCCCGGTTGTATTTGTTTTTTGTGGCAAAGTTGGCTACTGGGGTGGCTTCCGTGAGGAGATGCCAGAAGCCTCCTCCATGTCTGATTAGAGCCAATGCCAGCTGGCTCCAAGATGGACCCACTGCTGGCCAAGGCTTGAGTCCATCAGTGATGGTGGTAGCACCTCTGGGATAACATAGTTAAGAAGGGGGGAAAAAATTGCTACAGAACAGCAGTCAGAAGAAAGGAGTGAGAATATGTGAGAGAAAAATCTATAAACAAGGTCAGTCAAGGAAGGGGAGGGAAGCGCTCCAGGTGTCAGAGCAGAGATTCCCCTGCAGCTTGTGGAAAAGACCGTGGTGACGCAGGGTGTCCCCCTGCAGCCCATGGAGGATGATGGTGAAGCAAACTTCCACCTGCAGCCCGTGGAGGACCCCATGCTGGAGCAGGCGGATGCACCCAAAGGAGGCTGTGACTCCGTGGGAAGCCCATGCTGGAGCAGGCTCCTGGCAGGGGCCTTGAGGACAGAGGAGCCCACGCCAGAGCAGGTTTGCTGGCAGGACTTGTGACCCCGTGGGGGATCCACGCTGGAGCAGTCTGCTCCTGAAGGACTGTACCCTGTGGAAGGGACACACGCAGGAGTGGTTTGTGAAGAACTGCAGCCCATGGGAAGGACTCATGTTGGAGAAGTTGGTGGAGGACTCTCACCTGTGAGAGGAACCCTATGCTGGAGCAGGGGAAGAGTGTGAGGATTCCTCCCCCTGAGGAGGAAGGAGCAGCAGACACAATGTGCGATGAACTGACCACAACCCCCATTCCCTGTCCCCTTGCACTGCTGGGGGGGAGGAGGTAGAGAATTCAGGAGTAAAGTTGAGCCCAAGAAGAGAGGGGTGAGGGGAAGGTGTTTTTAAGATTTGGTTTTATTTCTCATTACTTGACTCTGATTTGATTGGTAATAGATTAATTTTCCCAAGCTGAGTCTGTTTTGCCAGTGATGGTAATTGGCGAGTGATCTCTCCTGCCCTTATCTCAACCTATGAGCCTTTTATTAATTTGTTGGGTTTTAGATAAAATTTGCCTCATTAGCCTAGTAGTTGGGAAGTCACTTGTCCATGAAGACCTAGAATCAAGTCCAGATTTAACTCTGAACTGGGACTTGAACTGGATTTCTCATGTTGTAGGTGAGTGTCATATAGCTTCAGTCTCTGGTTCATCTACCTTTTCTTTTTGGGATCATTTTTGGAAGAACTTTTTTAACTTAAAGGAAAAAACAAAAGCAAATTTTATAAACCTTCTATATTTGAGTGAAATATATCTTCCATTATTTTTGAATCCATGTCAGAAATTGATACCTGTAGACTTAAGGCAACTGCAACTGATATCACTAGTTGCTGCAATCAGTCAGAATAGAATTACAACTAGGTGATCTGAGTCAAAGTTACAAATAGAGTAATGATAGTCTTATAACCCTGATAGCAAAAATTGGTTTATGTTTTGACTTATTCTTTAGTATGTGCTAGGATCCACAATATTACACCAAAGTCAACATTAATAATAGAAACCTGTTGTCCCTTTAAAGTAAATGAACCAGAAAAGTTGAATGCAGGCTGGCAAAGAAGCATTATTTATCTCCTTCTGTGTGACTGCTTGAGGAGTCTGAATTAACACTGTGGCTCTTGCCCTATTTAAACTCAGATTTGTAGAGCTACAATAATAGGGTATTGTGTGGGCTTTTCTCTGAGAATATCCTCTTTTTTGAAACACAAAGGTATCACAGACCTGAGAACTGAGATGTGAAGAAAAATGCGTTCAGGATGAAAGTAAAAGCTAAAAAAAAATAAATATATATTTAAAAGCAGATAACACTTTGGACCTGAGCTCTGCAAGATGTCCTTAGGCCCCTGCTCAAAGGTACTGATTATAGTGCTAAAATTTTTAAAAATTTTATAATGCAGGGGATGAATATTCTTGGAGGACCATAAAAGAAAATAATGCAATGACCATGTACTGTATTTCTGCACTTCTTACAGAATAGTATTTGTTTAATATATTGAAATGTATTTTTACATGAGACTTGATTGCAATATTATCATGAGGTGAAAATTATTCATTAAAAGCTCACAGAAGCATAATGAACTGAAGAATAATTAACCTTTACTATGGGTTTATTTCAGTCTGGACTCTAAACACTCCTATACAGGAGTGGAAGAAGAGGAGGAAAACTCCTGGAAAGGTATTAAAAAAAAAAAAAAGGGGGGGGGGGGAGGTGAGGAGAAGGGAGAGATACAGAGAAAACACACACAAATAAATCAAAGATAATAAACTTATCTGGGAGATCAAGAAAAATATTATTTAAGTTCGTTTATGCTCTCACCTATACCAACACCCACTTTATGTGGTAATTAAGAGGACTGATTCAGTGCTCAGTGGGGTTAGGGAAAAATTCTCATACCTGCATAATGGGAATTGCATCTAGATCTTAATATCTTTTGCACTCGTACTTGCATATAAACATAAATTTTATGGTTCATTTTCAGAGGATATTCTGAGTGTGCATGCTGGAATTTGTTGAAAGGAAACTTATAAAAGATGCAATCTGTATACTTCAAAGAAACCAAAGTCCTTTTGATTTCATGCAATTGAAAAGTTAGGCCAGAATCTTTCTGGTGTGTTTAAATGTTTAGAAACGTCTAAATCAATGACACTTTTATGAAATTACATCACAGTTTGTATTTGTCTTGAAAGGATCGAGCAGCTACCTTAGTAATTGTAAGAAACTATCTTTCAACGATATGAAGCATTTCAGATGCATGTCAAGAAGGAACCTTAGAAGATGAGATGCTAAATTAGAGGTTTCTCTGCCAAAGTAGTAGCTGAATTAAGAAATTCTTCAGAGTATACCTGACTGCTGCTGGCCACCAGCTAATCTGCTGGGGTTGCACTGCTGCCACTCCAGAAGAAAAATAAACGGCTTAAGAATGAAAAGCAGATAGGAGGATACCACCCCAGAGAATACCAGCCTGAGAAGAAAAGGCGATTTAGTGAGTCCTCACACGTTTTGAGGTGAGTCAAATGCTTTAGCAGCTCTGGAGTCCATCGAGCCTTAGCATGCCTTCATGTATCACATTCAAACCATTGAACAGACCTTAGTAAACTGTGATGTTGTTTGTGCATTTTTAAGTATGTTGTTTAGCAACTAATTCCATCAAGAATGAGTGCTATTTGCTGAAAATTAAATGAGAAAATAGGACCACTAATTCTTCATTCAGCTTGTATCCTGAGCAAGGGCACGCTCACTTGGCTCACTGTAACCTCTAATGTGTAAAGAAGGTGAATAGGACAGATAATGTAAATGCTGGTTTTTGTCTGTAACCAGAGCTATTTGTCTGCAAGGTGGTTCAGGCCACTCACTATTCACTGTTTTGTTGTTGATACAAAGAATGGAACTCTCCCTTTTATCAAAAAATGCTCAAATCTGAACTGATAGCAGACACTAGCTCTATTCGACACTCAAGTACAGAATGTTTCAAAACAGAGGTACCATTTAGGAGGGTGATGGAAAGGCCCATGCCACTACTAGAAATAATCTGCCTGCAGTTGTGGTTGTCCTCTCAGCAGAAAGAAACAAAGACTGGTCTAAGGCTATTCAAAAAATCTTTAAAGTGATTCAGATTTTTTAACTGATGATAAAACCTACGCAGAATAATCAGAGTGGACAGAATCTGAATCAAGTGATGTTTAATAATTAGATGACCCAAAGAAAGAATTCTGCTGAGCTTTTCAATAATATATCTTACTGCTACTGCATGACATGTGTCTACAGTGTCAGTTTAGCAATCTTTGATTTACAGGGCAGGTCAAAGGTGTATGACTTCACATATATGTAGTCAGAACGAAAGCACTGTGCAAGTACTGTATGGTGCATATTTTGTGCTTTTTAGTGGATTTTTTCATACTGAACTCTTTACTACTAGGTTTCTGTATTGCTGTTGGCTTATTTGAAAGTGGGCTGGATATGTCTAAACAAAGTGTAATGATATCTGGATGTTTTTCTAGAGGCCTTCTATAGACAGCTATTGAGGAATGGTAGGAAGTATAATTTATAGCAAAAGATGCTTGATGTGAATAAACTTGCTTAAACTGCTAGTTCAGAAGGAAGTTTCTACATGATTCTAGATATGTTCTTCTGCCTCCGTTCTTCATCTGTAAAATCAAATGTCCTTGTCTGGGTCCTCTGTGTATTGTGAAGATTGAAGCTGCCAAAGACTTTGAGGTGTGTAGATTGTTTGGTTATGAGCCTAAGTATGTCAGTAATGAAAATATTTCTTTTGATATCAAGGCCTTATAAACCTCTAAACTGTCTTTAGAACTTCAGGAATGGTCAGTTAAGTCCTCTTAATTCAGCGTGCCTCAGGAATGTAATTAGGAGCATTTCTGTCCTGACTTTCATTTCTAGGATGCATTATACCTGTGAAGTTATCGTAAGAGTGAAGACAGTGTGTCATTTTGTGTTAACTTTTTTGTCAGTTAATCTTTGCATTTTATGCTGATGTATTTTGTCTGATTTATTTTGTTACAAATAAATTTGAAATATTTCAGATGTATGTCAGGAAGTAGGAATCATTTTAAGGAGGAAGCAATTTGGTGGAGCTTCCCAGGACAATGTCACAGGTGGCAAAACCGTTTGGTAACACTGGTATTAACCATAAATGAGTGTGGAAATACTTAATTCACCATGGAAAAAAAAAATCAATTGCCATGAAAGAGTGGCATATATAAAAATATAAGAGGAATCATATACAGGTTCCGTTAAGCAAGTGTAGTAAAATAGCCTCATATTCTTGGAAAAAGAATAATATTTTTAAGAAGAGCAGAAAGTCCAGCAACTACAATCAAACATTTATTATAGCTTTTTCCACTGTAGTGCTTACAGTTGCAAGTAAACTTATTTCATTTAATTTTCATAAGCATTTAAATTGCTGGTTTATGGTCAGAATATTAGCCATCTAGATGTACAAATATTACTTGTGCTTATAATTAACTGAATCTGGAACTATGTAGGAAGAGAATTCATACCTAATACATTTCTTCTAAATGCAGGGGTATAAATAGAAACTATGTAAAACACCCCAAAAAACAACCAAAAAACCTTCGATCAAAACCAACACAACAAACCAAACCTGTCATTCCTATATCCCACTTAGATTTATTAGAAAGGAATTCTAAAATGGATATTTTTGCACATGCTGGATGTTAACCAAGTCTCTGGCAAAACTTCTAGCAGGACGGTAACAGGTACGTATCTATAGTTAGGCTGTTACAGGCTCAGGCACACATCAAGTGTACGAGCTGAGGAACCTCTGCCTTGTTTGGTGTAACGTGTGCTCTTGGCTACATGATGCAGTACTAAATGTGTAGTCTTCCCATTCACAGTGTATCTGCATTTAGTCCTTGTAATTATGAAAGAGATGGGCTGAGATGTTACTCCAGGATCCATGTTCTGATTTAAGAAAGTAATCGGGGAAAAATGATGGGCTTGGCATTTTCATTTCTCCTTCCTTAAAGCACAAAAGCATTTAGAAATCTTCCTTTAAATGCCTATGGGCACCTTTTAAGACCTAGAAGCTTCTAATTCAGATAAATGTTAAAATTTATAACCCTTTGTCAACTTTTGGATCCAATCTAGAATTAAAGTAGAAGGATTATTCCTCTGATGCTAATTGACCTACATGAATTAAAGGAGTGTTTCAGGTTTGATGCTCCAGTTGGTTAGATTACTGTCTTAGTATTTGTAACAAAGATAAATTCTAGTCATTGTAAAAAAAGTTTATATGTCTATATTCAGACAAGTAAAGCTTACTATGTGCGTTCAGTTTTGGTCTCTGAGGAAATAAAAATTAAGGTCACTGAGCTGATGACAAATTCAGGTCAATAATTACAAAAACAGTATCAAAAGACTTAACAACTGGAGTTACAAACCCAGGATTCTGAGAGACATTGAAATGACATTACATATGTGAATAATCAACCCTATTTGCTGAAATCTCTGAACTACTATTGTAGGAAGGGTTTTAAGTCCTCAGCCTGCATTCCAAGTTTTCTGAGGGATAGGACAGGAGTAGTTGTAAAGATCTCCCATCACCAAATTTCTTAAGGCATAAAGATGATCTCAGTTAAACCTCCACCTCTTACTCAAAGTCAACAGGACTTTGAAAATCCAGTCTATCTTCCCAGTGCTTGGAGAAGACCTGAACTTCCCACAGGTTGGTGGGGAGCTACTTGCTCAGTGCAACTTCCCTGTTGCTCCAAAGCCAGTCCTTCCCTGCTTGGCTCTTTCCTGGTGATCACACTGTCATAGGGACCCCTCTTGCATATCTTCATAATCACAACCTGCTGGGATGTTTTTAGAGCACACTGTCTACCTCCTACCACTGCAACAAAGAATTCCAGAGGCGTGCGAAAAGCTGTTCTATTGAACAAAGTGCTTTCAACCAAGAAGTCAGCATAATTATAGGACAAACTAGCACTAGGCTGCCGCCTGTCAGCCAAGAGAATTATCGTTTGTGTCAGAGAGATGGAGTAAGGAGGGAAGTGGGTGGGAGGTAACTGGAGGAGCTAATCTGGGTGACAACTTTACCAAAAGAGTGTGTGTAGGATGACAGTGAACGAAGAGGAGAGTATGGAGGGAGATGCTATTGAACTGAAATAGAGGAAGAAGCCTCAAAAAAGGATGATGAAAATTTCCAGAATCTAAAGAAACAGGATGTGGGTGTTAATGGGTAGTACCAGTCAGTATACCTGGACCCAGAGAAGGAGCTGATGTGTACGGAGCCCTGTTCTATTTGGGAAAGGCTAACAGCAGCTAATAAGCACCTAGAATCACATCCATAGTAAATAAAGGAGTAGTATGCGAGACTGTAAGCAGTTTGATGTTCGCCATATGTGGTAGGGAGGCACTAGGCAATGAGATTTGTAGGAACATCTAACAAAAGGTAGAAAAAGTCTTTTGCTATAACAGGCTTCTGGGAATAAATTGAGGACAAAACAGCATGGAAGATAAGCAGAAATAAGGCAAGTGATACCAAAGGGGCTAGGCAGCTTGTACTTTCTGAAGTGCTGTGTTATGGTAGAAGTCAGGTACTAAAGGCTGTGCAGGACCTAGTGGAACTGAAGAACTTTTATAGCTGTTTAGTGTTGTTTTGAATTTCTGATTCAACAATTGCTACTTCAGAGCAAAACTCATATACTGGGGCTTACATCTATTGAGTATAGCATGAAAGGGGTAGCTGGAACTAAAGAAACACATACTCTGTAAGATATTTATTGTGCAGTTTCATAAAATTCAGAGTATGGAAGCTTGCACTGTATATTAGCTAATTTTAGCTGAGCAGAAGATATAACAAAGATTGCTTTACTCTGTGTAAGTTTAGCCCTTGCTGACATTTTAATCTTTTATGAAATAAGGCAGGACTTTTAAGCAGGGACAATTTTAACTCAGACAGAAGGGCAGGGTTACTACCCTACCTGAAAATGTCTTGTTCCAGCTCATGAGTCCGTTGTTGGTCCTCCCGATTCTGCTTTTGCATTTCTTCTTGCTCTTTTGGAGTAAGAGAACTTAGGCCATCCAAAAGCCATTTTTCTCGCAGGGCCTTTTTCTGATAGGGGAAAAATACAGACAAGTAAGTGTACTTTAAAAGTTAGGCTATTCAATCATTTACTGTATTTGTCTAGATACCATAGAAGCGATCCACATTCTTGTGTTGTATCTAGCATAAGGCAACCTGATAGCGGTAAGTGCCACTGAAAGGGAAATATTACAAAACATTTGTGTTTTGAGATTGTTCTTAATAAGTTTGGTTTTAAGTCAATGTCCCATTTTATTAGTCTACCCAACAAATTCCTAGAGGATTTCAGTTGCTACCTGTAACAGGTTAATATTTATAAGTGGATCCAGTGGTGTGTTTGTCCTCAATAAAGCAAAACAGTTGTATGAAACCGTACATACTACAGACTCATGCAAAAAAACCCCAGTCAGAAGTGCTATAGTTTTATTTCAATAGCCTGAATTTCTGGGGTCATGGCATTGCACAAATTCGGGGAGGGGGTATAAAAGGTGAAAAGTTTCTATACATAAGATTGTATAGGAGGAAGAGATCTCTAGTAAGTGAAGCAATGCTGTCTCTGGAATTTACAAGAAACTTGCGTAATTATGGTAGTGAACTTGCATTTCATCTGGTGAGGATGTGTGGGGTAAGAGCAGGACTGGAAGGGTGGAGTGTGGGTTACTGATGTCTGGTTAGTGTTTCAGCAGATGTGTGTATTTAGAACTGCTGTTGTAGGGGAAATCCAGGGTTTATGTATTGAGGTCCTGACCTGTTTAGTGCCTGTGGAGTTCTTTCTGTACAGTAGTGGCTTATAAATGGGTATATTGCATGTGTACAGGTGAGTGCATCTCTCAGCTGTGTCTTCAAATTTTGAAAAACATGGCTGTATGCACTGATTGTTTCCTATAGCTGCTTTACAATATGAAAGGTGGCATGTGAAAGTCACCAGAGCTCTCTATTCCTGATGGGGAAAAAAATATTCATGGAGATAAGTTCATATTTGCAGCCTAGAGGTTGTAAACCATGCAAACTCTCTTGTGGTCTTTTCACTCCCTTCAGTCTAACTCAGGAAAATAAATCCAGTTGCTGCCTTGGGGAAGAACTGGGAATCAGAGCTCCTTAGAAAAACTCTTTCAACAGGGGAAAAAAAAGCATGCATGTAAGGTTTTTAATTAACCATGAATTTTCCATTTGTAATTTAGATTTCTTGAGCTGTCTGACTTCTATGCTAGTATTTTATTTTTTTTCCCCTGTATAGTTTCATTACTTGTAAGATGTGGATGAAGATTAAATTGGATTTTGACTACTGTTGCTTTGAGGCAGATCTATGCTCAGCACTGATGAGAAGGCTGTATTAACCATAGTGCTGCTCACAGTGCCTGTTGGAGTCCCTGTCAGCATCCTGTGTGCTGAGTCACTTAAACTGTTGCTTCCTACGATTTTCTGTTTACTGTATACTCTACACGAAGTTATTACTGAGGCTCAACTGATGGAGGAGGATGCATGTAGGACTTGATTGCAGTTAAATGCAATTTTCAACTTGCTTGATGTGTGACATACATGACGTGATAGAAACCGTGGCTAAAACAGGCTTGTGGGGAATTCTGTGGCACTCCACAATATTTTTTTTGGAGGTTGTTTTTGAACATAGGAGCAATGTTTGCAGTTGCCTTTGCCCTGTGGGACAGTATTCTCTCTCTCAGCATTGGATCCTGGGAAATGTGTGGGGAACAAGAGCTGCTCAAGACTGTTCTGAACCTTGACTCTGGCTGTAGAAGCAATTGGCAGCACTTCCTGGCAGTTGTGTCTTAGGCTCAAATGAAATAAATGCAGATTTTATAGAATGATTTTACCTGATCTGGTACATGCATATAGTCTGGTGTTGGTACAACCCTTTTTTAACCACAAAATACTGGTTTTTTTTTTTCTCAAGTTGGAGGGAACAGTTATTAATTCTCTTTCAATCAAGCTGTTCAGATTTTAATGATAAGTAGGCCTCTTAGAAAAGTGAGATTTTTAATCCTGGCTGGAACTGAATTAGTCTAACACTGTTTTCTCAAAAAATGATTCTGTAATTCCTGTGAGAATTACAGCAGGGCTGGCACTGTAGACCTCAAACTGATAACACCTATTGAAATCAACAAAAGCTTCATGTACCTATAGGGTTAGGCCCAAGAAAACAAACTCCCTAAATATAGGCATAACATAATAGTGATACTTTTTGCTTTTTCCTAGAATAGTTTGCTGCTGCTCCTAACTAAATGCCATGTAATCTTTTTAATTTAACTAGCCATTTTTGAAAGAATGACACATTGCGTAGTTTGGAAACAGCCTTTGAACAACAGACCATTTCAAGGCTGCTCCACTGAGGCATTGGCACAAGCCAGTGCAGGAGCAGCTGCTTTGGGGCTGTTGGGTTCTTCCTGCTGTCTAGCACTTCCTTCCACTGTAAAGCATCTCTAGCTCGGTACTAGGCTGTGCATGTGTTATAGCACTTATATGAATGCACTTTCATTTTGCATTAAGAGAAAGGGATACTTACACACTGTAATGTGATAAGACCCTGGTAATGGCCAGAGTGCTGGAAAGCAGTCACTTTCTTTTATAAGTTTATGGTCACATCAGGAGTACTGTGACAGTATACGGCAAATTTTGTGAATTCTGCCCTATGCGTGCTCTAGGAATAAGTCCACTGTAATCCTTAACAAGGTTAGACTAACACTGAAAGATTCAGCCTATCCTGGAAGGCACAGGTGTTTTGAGTTTGTGCGTCTTGATCTCCCAATGGTATAGCAGCTCACCTTGTGGCATGTTAGGGGAGGCATAAATCATTTTTGCAGTTTTCACAGAGGATGTAGTTCAACACTGTTAACTCCTGGAATAAGAAGGTGTGTGACCAGCACCTACAACGTAACACTAATGGAGTTCAGGCATGTCAGAAACAAAAACTTAATAAGCTAAACTAGAAAAGCTCTTGGAAAGTACATGCAAATCAGTGCTGACCTACACTTTTCAAGCAACTCTGGTCCTTCCACTTGTTGCCTCAGTGAGAAGGATTCCATGTAGGAGGAAGAATTAGTTGCTGGTGCATCTAGAATTACTTGAGGATGGAATTTTTCTCACTAGCAGTCCCCATTACCCCTTGCAGTTCCATGAAGCCCTATCCACGCAGGTATCTGTATTTGCTTGCATGTCCTCTGCTTCAGGTGGTAGAAGTGCACGT